GCGGCTCGGGCGGCTCGGGCGGCTCGGGCGGCTCGCGCGGGCTGGCGGCTCGGGCGGCGTAGCGGAGCGGCGCGGGCGGCTCGGCTGCGTAGGCGTTCGGGCGGGGCCATAGGTAGGACGGCGGGGCCGGGTCGAAGGTAGGGCGACGGGGGGCCGGTGCGAAGGTAAGGCGACCGGGCGGGGCTGGGCGTAGGTAGGGCGACGGGGCCGGGTCGAAGGTAGGGCGACGGGGCCGGTGCGCAGGTAGGGTGACGGGGCCGGGGCCGGGCCGCAAGTAGGGCGACGGGGCCGGGTCCGGGCCGTAGGTAGGGCGACGGGGCCGGGGCCGGGTCGTCGTAGGTAGGGGGACGGGGCCAGGGCCGGGCCGTAGGTAGGGTGACGGGGCCGGGTCGTAGGTAGGGCGACGGGGCGGGGCCGGGCCGTAGGTAGGGCGACGGGGCCGGGCCGGGTCGTAGGTAGGGCGACGGGGCCGGGGCCGGGGCGGGCCGTAGGTAGGGCGACGGGGGGGAGGCCGGGCGTAGGTAGGGCGACGGGGGCCGGGTCGAAGGTAGGGCGACGGGGCCGGGGTCGGGCTGCAAGTAGGGCGACGAGGCCGGGGTCGCAAGGGGGGGCGACGGGGCCGGGGTCGCAGGTAGGGCGACGGGGCCGGGGCGCAGGTAGGGCGACGGGGCCGGGGCGCAGGTAGGGCGACGGGGCCGGGGCCGTAGGTAGGGCGACGGGGTCGCTAGGGTGACGAATCAGGGGCCGCTAAGGCGGCTCGACGAAGTCAGAGAGGGGAGCGCGACTCGGGCGGAGCGCGCTCCGGGCAGGAAAAAAAAAAGTTTCGACTTGGTGGACCCTAAGCACAGTTCCCACGAGGGAACCTGCTCGATACCATGAGAATATTGAAACGAGAATGAATGAACTATGAATGAACTGAGTACAAGTACTAACCCTAATTGGGTTGTACCCCTTATGGGCTACCCCACTATAGCCTACACAATAAGCACAAGCTATATGTTCTGACACCATGTACTCTAAGGGGTACATACCCTTATTACAGCGAATTCAAACCGTGCGGCGGGGGAACCCGTTCAAAACCTGTTCCCGCTCTTTTCACTTCGAATGTTTCTGCCTGCATCGGTCTTGGTCAGACGGTTGCTGCGTCGCTTCGACTCTTCTGACTCCTCGACTTCGTACTCGGTAGAGTCGGAGTCGGCTCCGCAGCATACAGGAATGCCTTCTTATATAATTTCATATCGTAACGGACCTTCATGTGCATAGAAGTTTCCTCGATATTTCGTTTCTTTACACCCACCATCGAGGTTCAGTTTCGATAATGTACAGCGCGTTACTACATTGATCCTGACTTCTCGACCCTGAACAATCAGACTATATAACTTCCCAACACTGAGCAATCAGGGTTACGTTTTCCTGGAAAATATGCCCCCATAATCCAGGGGGGGATTTTTTCCCGGAATCAGGGAGGCCTAATTTGAAACGTCAGCCCTGATCACTGCATCTGAAATGATGGCGGAATTCGCTCTAGTTGGACTTCAGCGAACTGCATTTGAACGCGCCTTACAGTTCTCGCGAACATGTTAATAGAGGGTAAATCCACAAATCGCCGTGCGAAATCCAAGCCCTGGGATTTGCGGTCAATTGGCAGATTCCCTTCAGTCAGTCGTCTGACTGGCAGGCTATTTTGCGCATCAGTTTAGCCTGGCTACCGACAAATCGTCCCACCATTAGTATCTCCGACAGCTGATCTGTCTGTCACTCCCACCGTGAAATCGGACGGTCGAGATGCCGAAGCTGGTGCTTCACGGCACGGCGATTTCGCCGTACACGCGACGCGTGATCATGACGCTTTATGAGATGGGAGTGGAGGTACGAATATTAAGGAACGGATGTTTATGTATAGAGTTACTATTGTGTGTTCAAGTAATCGTGACGCAGTGCGAGATGATTACTAGACGGGAATGGATGTGTGTGGTTGAGCGTGGGTGACCGTCCCAGCCTAGTAGAAATGCATTCAGTACGAATTTCAGATAGCGTAGTACGCTTCGATCCGACGACAGAGGGGAGATCACGACGCGTTACGAAATGCGCGTGGAGATTATTTGATCACGGTCTCTCGTTACGAGATTCGCGTGGAGATTAGTGGATCATCGTCACGTGTTGCGACGTGATGAGTGCGTTGCGGAGTGATAAAATGATAACATGCACTGGAAGACTTCTGGGGTGCCTCCAAAGTGATAGTATGCTGCACTGGAAACAGGCATTCTCAACTGCATTGAGGCAGAAAACGCGCTTTCACATGTGTACAAAAGGAGGGTGAATGCATTGAGGCAGAAAATGCATCATGGGACGAGGGGAAGTGCGTGGAGGAGTGTTAGTATGCACTGAATACGGGCATCCTCAGCTGCAGTGAGGTAGACGATCACTTGGTGACTTTTGAGTCGACTCAAAAGTCACCGTGTTAGTATGCACTGAAAACGGGCATTCTCAACTGCAGTGAGGTTGACGGATCACTTGGAAATGCGCTTTCGCTTGCGTTCCGATCCATCCATGCATACTGGATCTTCGTTGTTCAGGTACTCGTGCGTTTCATTTAATCGTCCATGCATCTGGAAACCCTTTTTTTTTTTCAGGATTTCGTGCACATTCCGGTCAGCCCACTCACAGGCGGCACCAAAACACCCGAATTCCTCAAGATACAGGTGACGTTCTCTCTGATCCCGTTTTTGTTCTGAGTGTGTGTTTGTATGCGTGTGCGCGCACGGGTGTGCATGTGAACAAGCCACTTGTTCAGTTGCATCCCTTTTACCTTTCCTTCTCCCTCTCATCACCCTCTCTTCTTCCTCTCCTCTCCCTCGTCTCTCCTCACACCCTCTCTCTTCTCCCTCTCCCCTCCTTTCCTCTTTGTATTTCCTACCCCATCCGCCATGCATCCTCAGCCCTTCGCGCGAATCCCTGTGCTCGAAGACGACGGGCACGTCATTTATGGTATGTGATGCAACTGCCAACATCAGTATTGATCAGTGATACAAGGGGCGTGCGTCCTTCCCCATCCTCACTGCATCCTCAGCCCTTCGTGCGAATCCCAGTGCTGGAAGACGACGGGCAAGTCATTTACGGTAGGTGATGCAGGATGAGTGGTCAGGCTCTCCCTTTCTTTCCTCTCCCTCTCTTCACCTCTCCATATCCTCTTCCTCTCCTCTCCATATCCTCTTCCTCTCCTCTCCATCTCCTCTTCCTCTCCTCTCCCGCTCGTCTACCTCTCCTCTCCCTCTCCTCTTCCTCTCCTCTCCATCTCCTCTTCCTCTCCTCTCCATCTCCTCTTCCTCTCCTCTCCATCTCCTCTTCCTCTCCTCTCCCACTCGTCTACCTCTCCTCTCCCTCTCCTCTTCCTCTCCTCTCCCTCTCCTCTCCTTCTCCTCTCCCTCTCTTCTCCCTCTCCTCTCCACCTCCTCTCCCTCACCTCTCCCTCTCCTCTCCCTCTCCTCTCCCTCCTCTCTCCCTCTCCTCTCCTTCTCCTCTCCCTCTCCTCTCCTCTCCTCTCCCTCTCCTCTCCCTCTGCTCTCCCTCTCCTCTCCCTCTCCTTCGTCCTTCCTTCCCAATCCTCTGCGTCCTAAGCCCTTTGTGCGAGTCCCTGTGTTCGGTCACTCAAGGGCAGTGATTCAGGAACAGCCAGGTGGGCTGGGCGTCATCAAAACAGCCTTGAATTGAAATCCCTTGATTAGCGTAGGAATATTACATGCATATCGCTTCTTTTTTTCGATAGATAGAACTCGCCTCATAGTCTTCTAAGGGTGAGCCGCGAGCGCAAGCAAACCAGTTTCTCTCCCCCTATGTGCCGTTCAGAGCTTCTCTCGTCACACTTATGGAAAACATAGCTGAGTCAACCGCATTATTCAGAAGCACAAGGACCAGAGCCGAACCTTTGTGCCTGCGCCGCCATTGCCGCTCTGCCCTTTCCAGACTCCCACATGTTTGTGCTATACAGAGCGGACAAATTACAAGGAGCTGCCCGTGTGCGTCCCAGACCTGCTTCCCACGTTTGCGAAGCTTAAGACTCATACTCTCCTGCTCCATTGTTCCTCCCGTGCCCCTTCCAGAGTCTCGCACGCTCATGAGATACATCGCGGACAAGCACAAGGACCGGGGGCCAGTGCTCCTCAGACCTGCTCCCCATGTTTTAGAAGCACAGCGAGCAGACTCCCTCCCTCTCCACCGTTGTCCCTGCTGCCCGTTCAGAGTCTCGCACGCTCATGAGATACATCGCTGACAAGCATAAGGACGGGGGCCGAACCTCCTAGGAGAAATGCTCATGGTGGGTCGTGTTGTGTTGTGTGCCTGCTGCTAGTGTTTGAGTGATTATTCTTGAGTCGATTCAAAAGTCACGCTCCTGAGATATGTAGCGGACAAGCATAAGGACCGGGGGCCAAACCTCCTAGGAGAAACGCTCATGGTAGGTCGTGTGTGTTGTGTAGCCTGCTGCTTGCTTGTGAGGGACTGAGATCAGATTACAAAAGTCACGCTCATGAGATACATAGCTGACAAGCATGACCGGGGCCCCAACCTCCTGGGAGAAACACTCGTGGTAGGCTTGGGTGTGTGGCACGTGAAGCATGGTTGCACGCTTGCCCCGGTTATGATTCTGGTTCTTGAGAGAGCGTTCAAGCCCCTTGTGCAAGCCCTCCATGATAGAAGTAGTGTTTTGAGGCGTCTCAAAACCCTGATTCTGGTTCTTGAGAGAGCGTTCAAGCCCCTTGTACAAACCCTCCGCAACAGCCAGCCACCTCCCCTTCTTCGTTCCCACGGTGATGATTCCGGTCAACGAGAGGAGAGGTGAACAAGAACTTTCTGGATCGCCTCCAGCATGCACCCTGCGTACCCCCCCGTTGCTTCACATCTCTCATCCTTTCTGTCACACCAGGAGGACTTTTGAGGCGCCTCAAAAGTCAACGAGAGGAGAGTGAACAGGAACTTTCTGGATCGCCTCCAGCATTCACCGTATGCACCATACCCGCCCGTTGCTTCCCTCCTGTGATGGTTCTGGTGTTCCTGCCTCCCCGGCATGCACCATACCCCCCCATTTCTTCCCATCTTGCATCCTTTCTGGCGCATCACACCAGGAGCGAGCGCTGGTGAAGCAGTGGATAGACGTTGAGGGGCACACCGCCTCCCCTCCGGTGATGGTTCTGGTGTATGAACGGGTGTTCAAGCCTCATGCATGCACGATGCCCCCCTTTTTCTTCATCCCATGCCACCCCTTTGCATTCTCTTGCAGGACCGAGCTTTGGTGAATCAGTGGATAGACGTTGAGGGGCACACGTTCTCACCTCCGGTTATGGTTCTGGTGTATGAGAGAGTGTTCAAGCCCCACTTGCACAAGCGCCCGTGCGATGAGGAGAGATGGAAGGAGGCAAGGGAAAAGGTGAGAGGAAGGGTGGAAAGGAGAAGGGCGTTTGGGCTTTTCTCTCCTCTAGTGGTGTATGAGCGGGTGTTCAAGCCCCACTTGCACAAGCGCTAATGTGACTAGGAGAGAGGGAAGGAGGCAAGGGAGAAGGTGAGAGGAAGGGTGGAAAGGGAGGGTGGAATTGAGGAGACAGTAGGGTGGAAGGGATGTAAGCTGGTTCTGGTGTACGAGGGAGGGTGGTCAACCGCATTTGCACAAGCGTGCTGTGATGAGGAGAGATGGAAGGAAGGAAGGGTGTCGGTGAGAGTAGGGATGGGAATTGAGAGGAGGGGAAATGAGGAGACAGTAGGGTTAAAGGATGGAGAGGGGATGTTTAGTGATTCTGGTGTACGAGAGGGTGTTCAAACCGCATCTGCACAAGTGTGCTCGCAATTAGGGGGGATGGAGGAAGCAAGGGAGAAGGTGAAAACAAGTGTGGAATGTGAAGGAGGGAATGAGGAGTAGGATTGAAAAATGGAGAGGGGAGGTGTAGTGATTCTGGGGTATGGGAGGGTGCTCGGAACCACTTCGCCTCGTTAAAGCCTCATCCACGCAAGGAGGGGAAGGAAGAGAAGGATAAGGTGAGAGAAAGGGGGGAAAGGGGAAGTGTGTAAGGGAGAGGAGACGAAGGGGGGGTGTCTGTGCACTTTCAGAGATACCCTTCCTGTCATTTTTTGCAATTCGCGTTTCTTAACCCTCCCTGTAGATAATGTTTTTATGCTGTTTTTTTTTCACGTCTCGTTTTCCTTCTCATCTGCTTTTTCCCCTTTATTCCCAATTGTCTTGTGTATTTTGCACGCATCTATCACGCATGCTACACATAATTGAGAAGTATCTGGGAAACTTCTTGGTTGGAAACTCAGTCACCCTCACAAACTTGACCCACCTTCCTGCCCCCTCCTTTCCACTCCTTCCCACCTGCTTTTCTTCTTCCCTCCTCATGCATGCAGCTCACTCATGGGTTGGACATATACGAGAAGCATCTGGAAGGGAGGGACTACCTGGTTGGAAACTCTGTCACCCCCACAGCCTTGACCCACCTTCTCGCCCCCTTCCCTTCCACTCCTTACCACCTGCTGTTCTTTTTACCTCTTCATGCATACAGCTATCAAATGTGTTGGACATATACGAGAAGCATCTGGAAGGGAGGGACTACTTGGTCGGAAACTCTTTCACACTCGCGGATTTGACCCACCTGCCCTTCACCGAGCTTTTGCCGGCCGCAGGGGGATTTGATTTGATTGAGAGCCGCCCGAACGTGAGCAGATGGTGGGCGCGGATATCGGGGAGGGATGCATGGAAGAGAACTCAGCAGCTGGAGCCGTATGAATTTTAAGTACTTAGGTTTATTGCGCAGCTCCACCTGATCGTGTTCCTGAACTGGTAAATCCTTTAGTGAACAGGGTGTTTGTAACTGCTACTTATACCGTATTCTCCCGGACATAACACACTAGGGTATAGCTAAAAATACAGGGAAAAAATGGGGGGGGTCTCCTCATAGGAAAAAAATACATAATACCCGGGTCTTTACATATGGCATATTTTAGTGTTAGTGTTTTTTTAATTAGTCAATGTGGGTGTTTTGCTGGTCGTTTTAGCATCACTGCCTGAGGCGCGAATGTGAGTTTCGGCCAGGGCCCTCGCTATCAGACATTTTTGTCTGTTTTTCTGAGAAATCAGACAGATTTTTTTTCACTCATCTGATTTTCAAGAAATGGGTGCATTATGCCGTCTGATCTGATGGGTCAGAAATGGTTTTTAGTTTCCATCTGTTCTATCAGACACGTGATTGAGAAAGCTTGCTTTCTTATTCTTATCAATTGGCATCGTTCTCATTACAAATGGCTTATTACAACATTTGCATCAACGTTGAGCACAAGCTGGTGCAATCGAATAACACTAGCTAAGATGTACCCTATCCAAGTGGCATTAGCAAGGCGGTTTACTCTGGGGTGGGTGGTGGGAGTGTTGAGTGAGCTGTTTGAAAATCGAGAAACGTGGGTGGAGGGAAATGAACTCCAACCCACGGTTTTTGTAGTTGGAGAAGGGCGTTTAGCGCGCTTCGACGATGCCAATTGTGCAGTACAAGCAGCTTCGCTTTCACAATACACAATTTTAAAAAACACAATGTGTGTTTAAAATTTATAATATTGAGAAAGCTTGCTTTCTTATTCTTATCAATTGGCATCGTTCTCATTACAAATGGGGTCTCTGAGACATGGGCAGCGGGGGCCTCCGGTTGCGTACGAGTGCCTCTAAGTGTTGTGCCGACGACGCTGCATGCGTCAGGTCTTGTAGGTTACGGGAGGCTTCGATAAGAGGCTCAACGTATGGTGTAACATACATTTCCTTTGCTGAGTCGCTTCGCCATCTGCCCAGCCGTTTGAAGACCCTGTCTGGCACGCCCGTGTTGGCTGCTACTGTGGCTGCACCTTTTCGGAAAGAATGTGTGCCGAGCTGCAGGTCTCCAAGGCCCACTTTTGCGAAGGCTTCCTTGCACTAGTTCCGGATCGTGGTGTATGAGGGTGGCCTTGCTTGGCCCTCGCTGGTTGAAGCGTGGCCGAAGACCCGAATCAATGGTCCCTCTGACTGTGGGCCATAGCCGGCCAGTTGGATGAAGCGTCGGGTGCAGCGAACTGGGCAACAAGGGTCTGTCGTTGCTGCAATGGGAATCCAAGTGCCATGACCAGCCTGATCGGTCTTGGAGTGTGGTATGAGAATCCACATGACCTCGTCGTCGAATTGGATGTCTTGCCATTTTATGGCTGCCAGGTCCGAATATCGCAGGAATCCTGAGTACATGAGGATGGGGATCAACCCTTTCTGAAACGTCGCTGGATCGTCGGACTGCAAGTAACTCGCGGCCATGTCCCGGACTTGTTGGATCGATGCGGGTTCCTTCATACGAGTAGGGCGAGGGCAGTGTCGTTTTGCACAGTCACGGACTTGGGTGGTGAACGGTCCTCCGGTTGTCGGGCATTTGCTCCCAGTCATGCGATGAGCGAAGCTGACCGCCGAGCACGTCAGCTGCACTACGGACAGGGTGGCTTTGCGTCGGATTGCGTGTACCAGGTAGAGCGCGCGAGGGTCATGTCGGATGCCGGAAGAAATGGGAGGTTCACTTTTGTGCAGAAGGCTCGAAACTTGGCCCAGTATGGTTCGTATGTCCGGATCGTAGAATCGGCGCGAGATTGCGCGAGCATGTTGATCATTTGGTCGTGTAACTTTGGGAGCAAATCTGAACACAGGGCGTTGATGTTTTGAATTAGTCAAATGCCATTCTCAGTGCAATAATTGGGCTGTGCGGTAGTCCCATGCCTGAGAAATGCATTGAATGGGACCCTGCTTCTAGGCATTGGCTTCCGTTGTGTCAGAGGGGATGTCGCGCGTGGATGTGTGGAGCCCAAGTGCATGGGGAGGGTTGCCAAAAGTGGCCACCACTTGCGCCTGGCCAGTGCGGAACTATCAGTGTGAGTGATGCATGGGTGCGTTGTGCGTGATGGAGACGGCTGGGACCAGTTGGGGCGGGGGGAAGGCGAAGTTGTTTTCGGGTGTTGTCCACGCGATCGAGAACGCATCAACTGCGATAGCTTCTGGGTGGGGAATCTTTGTGCAGAAGCGCGGCAGTTGGGTGTTGCGGGAGTTTGCGAAGAGGTCGATTGGAGTGGGGCCCCCAACGACGTTCCAAGATGCGGAACCACGGCGTTTTCAGCGCGTAATCGTCGTGGTCGACCATTTTGAAAGTTCGGTCGGCGTGTGATTTGAGCTCGGCGCGGAATCCATTCGATGATCAAGCGCGTGCCAAGCTCCATGCATGTTCGGATGATGCTCTTGCATGCCGTTTGCGCGGTCGGGGCATGTGAGAGAGCGCCTTTTCGAAGGATGAAGAAACACGCCCTGGTTGTCCACCCGCACGGAGAACGTGTTTTTGCTTGAGGTTGGTCGCGGTATGTTTGGAGCGCCCAAAGGACGCCTTCGATCTCGCGTCGCGTGCTGGACGTTCCTTGTAGCGGCTCTTGACATGGTGCGCAAGCCTTCTTCGACGGGCCGCCCAGAAATGTGGTCAGAGTGGCGCCCCAACCATGAGAGCTGGCATCCACATGGATTACTGCGTCGTAGCTGTTCCTGAAGTGAAAAGGTGCGCCGTTGAAACGGTCAAATTCTCGAGCCAAAATTGGAGCTCCTCTGCTGCAGATGGGGGATAACCACTGCTGCCTTTTCCATGACGGTGCTTCGTTGATCACTTGTAACATAGCGTGGCTGAATGCGCGAGCGGTCGCGCCAAGTGCGGATTCACCCATCGATGCAAGCATGCCAGTGATTCTGGCCACGTGGCGGAACGGGACTGGTCGGGCATGCCCTGCTTGCGCTCAGGATGGTTCCGGATGGTTGCATGTAGTGAGGCTCGTCGGTCGGGACCGATGGAGAATCGGCCGGTGTCGGTCTCCAGTTCTACGCCCAGGAATCGGAGATGTTGCGATGGGACAGTTGTGATTTCTTCGCGTTTATCACAAGGCCTGCCTCTTTGAGGTCCAATATCACCTGCTGGCAGATTGCTTGCGCATCGGCTTTCCGACTGGCAAGCTAGGAATAAGATGTCATCCACTGTAAGGTACGACTCGGATGCCTTGTTCTCGCCAACGCCGGAGCTAGTTGCTTGATGAGCTGTGTAAAGACGAATGGAGCCGTCTCGAGGCCGAATGGTAGTGAACGAAATGCGTATGTGCGCCTATCGAATTCGAAGCCAAGGAACTTCCAGCACGATGGGTGGATGTCGATGTGATGGTAACCGGATTTGAGGTCAATGGAGAACATCCAGTCCCCAACGCGCGCCAGGTCTGCGACACGGCTGAGCCCTCGTACTTGAACTTGGGGACAATCAAGTTAGCGTTTGACCTTTCTCAGATCAAGAATGAGCCTGCATTTGTCTTTTTGCTCGACCACGTTAAGTGGACTTATGCACTTGAGCTCCTGTGCGGCCATCGGAACTGCCGCTCCCGTCTCTATGAGTTCTTGGATGGCGGTACGTGTGAACGTAGCATGCGTGTTTGCCCCGACATGATTGCGATCGTGGA